TTCAAATTCAACCTTTACGTATTTTATTTGTGATCTCGTCTGAACTTCAAATTTTCTGATTTTCTATCGACCACCCTGTTATATATTCAACAATTGAAAAAAACGACGTTACCAAGAAAAAACCTCTAAGATAATAAAGTCACCCATCGAGTGGGTGTCACATTCAACACAATACTTGCAGAATGGACATCACAAGCAAGACTTTACAAAATCCCCACGCGCATTGTAAATTTCCCCCTGGGTATAATCCGTTGATATGCCACGGTTCACCAAACATTTACTCGCATTAGATCGCGCGAACTAATGGTATCTTTGTGTTCTGATGTTGTTGATGCAAAACGATTGACAAAACTTGATTTACGGACAAATGTATTCCGTATATGACAAATTTATTCCTCATGTGTGAATGTATGTTTGCATTCAATAGTATAATACCTAGCTGGTTATACTTTGACGGTAGTTAAAATCCCCTTTGCAATATGGCAAATATCACAGAATCAAAACACCTATAGTCGAAAACACTCAAGTTTCAGATTAAATGGTTTAAACTTTAAACCCTCCAGTTTAAGAAAACAATCAATGAATTTTAGAGTATGTGACAAATTTTAGACTTTCTTTTCTACTTGTTTTTGCATTGCATAGTAAAAATCATAAATGTAGCACCGTGCCAAAACATGATTAATTTACTAACATGTGCTACATATATCAAGTTTTGATTTGTATTGTTATACACATTGTATATCAGGTAAGTTTCGTTTCAAGTATATCTAATGGGCAGACAGCCCGTGTCATCCTAGAAGTCAAAAGTCGCGACCCTTAGTATGAAGTGAACTGGGGAGTCCCTGTCAAAGTGGGCTTATTTTCCTGAGATGATTCATTCGAATCGTACATACACTAATCAGAATGCCAAAATTTTCCAGTTTTCTGCTTTTTGTAATGCATACAATGATAAAAAAAAATAACTGAACAAATATATATGTTCAATAATTGGATATCGTGATTATCGCCGAACTGATATATAAGACAATCGCCACTTTCATACAGACAGACACACGATATTGAAGTCAGCGTTAGACTTGGAGTCTGATGAAGATTGAAAAATTTGTGCATTCGAGATAGAATATCGAAATTAAAGTTTATTTGTCGCTTTCTTGCAAAGTGTTATCTTCTTCGAATGGGATTTCGGAATACCGGTACACGCGAAAATGAGCAACAAACTAGATGCGTGAACGAACTAACGCAATTTTAGAGAGCAATTCTTTCTGTAAACTTGCCCTCCGATCTAATGGCGATTTTAAATCAGCTTACAGGACATTAAATTTATTAGAAAATTTTAAATCAATTTTCTTTCCCAATAACCAGATTCAAATGAAAATTTCATATTGTGCAGAAGAAAAAGCATTATCCAACTCAATTCATTTATCGAACAAACTTTTACGGAATTTACGAAACACTTTTATTTTTATCTTCTACACTTTTGGTTTATTTACACAATTTTTTGGTTTATAAATAAGATCCTATTTTTTTTGTACGCAATAATCATTTTTAGTACAGAAAATCTGAAACGTTTGTTAAAATGAGATTGCATTACTCTATTGTGTTTTTTTTCATGATAAGTTTGGCCATTGTAACCAAACCCCTGAGGTAAGTTTAAATATTTTTTCTCTAATCAAAAGAATATACTTGAACTTGATCAATTCAAAAAAGACTCGATGAATAATCTTAACATTTTTGTAGTTGTGTTCCCACAAGATTTCTACAACGAAAAGAATTTCATAGAAATGTGGAACTTCAATCAGGTAATCTTGAAATTTCAGACTAAGCAAACGCATGTTATCGTACTTTTATTATAATATTAAGAGATAAGCTTTAGAAGGGTTTAAAATGAAAACTTATTGCCTCTGGTATATTAGATTTTCTTTTTTACCTGACTCATGGTACCGATTTTTCTCCATCTTCGCCGACACATAACTACTTGATTAGCTTTCTGGTTGTCCAATACACTAACCCTAGATATGTTAGAAACGTTAGCTGGTTGCGCCAAGTCAGTAAAATGCAATTCAACAAAGGCTGAGTAGCTGCGTTTTCTTACAAATACGTTTTCCTTTTCATCTATCGCCCAGTTATTCTCTTCTGTCGCATTCATGTCACATTTAATAGTTTTTGTACACTTTTATTTCACACTTTTTGCTTTATATCAATGCATAACACGTTTTACAGAAAAGTTTACTTCTACAAAACGGGGATTGGCACCATCTTTTGTCCTAATTAAATCTCTACATAAAAATTTCTGGCAGAAGGCGATGTATTTTTTTATTTATTTAGAAAACAAACCATGTGATACAAATTCTGGATGGATAGTTAATATCGAGCATAAAACCATCGGAGAAAAGAAATGCAAAGGAATCAGAGCAACTGCTGATGCTGAATTGATCATCACAGCGGCTCATTGTCTTGTTACTGCCTCAAACCCTCATGCCGAAACATCTAAACCTACGGAATGGTAAATCGTTTTACTGCTTGAGATGGACATGGTAGATTTTTGAAAAAATATTTTTCATTTGACTTTGCCGTTATGGTAGTGAATCTGGCAAAAACTTGATATAAAATATATGTATTATCGCTTCTTAATTTAAACATGTGGTTTTCGAATAAGTAAATATTATTTATCTAGATTAAAAAATATTGTTTTTATGATATAATCCGAAATTTGAATAAGTTTTGTCGAAAGGCATGGGGATTGAAATGTCACGGTAGGCCACTCAAAATGAGCCTCTTTAATAGAATTTGTATGCAAAATTTTCAAATTTTTAAATTAACTATTACTTAATATCTGAAATTACTGAATACCAATGTTAAATGTTTTGTTTGGTAATTTTACTGCATTTTAGCTATCATCCAAATGACTACATAGTAACTGATCTTTGTGGAAGCAGTCAGCACGGTGAATTTGTAAGACACGACCGAAATTTTCATCACGTACCAAGCAACTTGCAATACAGGTAAATAAAAATATTCATTTACAAATTTTGCGCGAATGTTTGGTAATTTACGTCTTTTTTTACCAGACACGACATTGCAGTTCTTAGGGTGAACAAAGAGGTTGGTTTGCAATCAAACTGGAATCACGATGCCGAACGAGGGTTGAATGATACTTGCTGGATATATCTCATGCGCGACCAAGGTAACTCCTCCTTCGCGCCATTTCTTGACATTATTAGACTTCTCATTTTGTATACTTTTGCAGGAATTGAGAAAATACCCGTCAATGTGAGTTCATGTCACCAACTGTACGGGATCGATTTGTATCGCGGTAACAAGAACCCCTTATGCACATTAGAGGGACAGTCTGTAGAAATTGAACCGGTAAGAGTAATACATTTGCATATCCTAGGACCTTGGTTACTTATATGTTTTACACTGAATTATTGTTAAAAGAAACTATTGGGCATTTAATTATTTTTCGTGGATTTGATTTGTGTATTCTCATTTACCAGTCGGACAGCGGGAGTGCGATGGTGTGTGCTGACAGAAATGGAAACTCCTACGTAGCTGGTATCGTATCAATGAAAGAAAAAATAAGAGAATATGCGATACTAATGCGGGTGAACCGTGGCACTTATTTGAAAATACAAAATGGCGGAGGCAGAAATTGTTACTCATCGATCACCGATATGGAAAATCTTCCAAACGAAGAATGAGAATTTATGTGATTTGGGTGCTTAAAAAGGCAAACAAAAACGTTTGACTAACACGGGACTGCTTTAAACAGCATTTCTGTTGACTTTAAAACCAATGTGGAAGAAAAGATGTACACGTTATCTTAATTAGTATATATATATATATATCATTCATATTTTTGTTGTTAATGTTGCCACGAATCGACAAACTTTTTGAGACTCATTTGTCTCATAAACAAATGGACTTGTGGTTTGAAAAATACAGAAAAAAATAATGAAAAATACTAGCTGTCCTATCTGAACTTTACTTTTTGGTTATTTTTCATAAAGAATATGTAAACATATTTTAGTGTATAAAATTGTAGTTTCTAACAATTTGTGAAAATAACAATATACCAAATTTTAATGTTTGCAACATTTTATTTTTTGTTATATATATATATATATATGTTTATAACCATATCTATTCTTATGAGTTCATTTTTATTGGTGACATTCTGAACACTTAGTTACCGTAATTAAGATGTCAGAATTGCAGCTCAGAATAAAACATGTTGTGAATAGTATAAAATGGACTCCAGTTCATCAAAATTTGTAGGTGAGAATCAACGAGTAACGTGTGAGATTATTGACCTCACCGTGTGTGATCTTCATTCCATTATGACCCGCAGGGACTTCCATCTAGAATAGGGTTAGGATTGAAAAATTGGTTTATACATCTAAACAAAAGAGGAGTCGAGTAAAAAGTTTAGAGAAAATATCTTGCGGCTAGATCGGCGATGATTAACACCATTACTGTCGCTGGGTGTAGATCACGAGCTACACCAGAAACATGCATGTAAATTACTAACAATGTCATGTCATCGTCTCTCCGCATGATCACGTCGAAAATGGTGTTCCCGTGGGCGTTCATGTATTTAGGTTCCGCCGTAGTTTCCATTTCTTTATCACCGTTAATATATTTATTTCATTATATTGCTTGTAATGTATTATCGTACTACGGATGATAATTTCTAATATTCTAATCTATATAAATCCACAAATATAGCATTATTATTATTTATATCCGAAATCGGCTAAAACTATGTTTCCTGAAAATACTTAATATTTATGTGCTGATTCTTGACTATTATATCTAAAAAGAAAATTCGGACCAAAACGTAAAACAGCAATCAGTATGATGTTGTTAATGTGCTTATATCTGGACTTTCACCTTTCCATCGACTGGTTAGGAAAATTTAGCGTTGTTTACGACACGGGATATCATGTTGTTTGCTGCGTCTGCTGTATTATTCGAGCTGTGCATGAAGTAGTCCGAATGCTGGGAAATAGTACAATATTTATGGAATTGGGGTATTACAAGAGTAAGTTATAATTCTAAAGATTTGGACTAAATTGATAAGCTCATTCGCTCGATGAAGTAAAATATGGAAATCAGTTTCAAAATTGGATAAATGAACTCAGAAGATTGACAACAACAGAAACTTCACAACAACACTTGGTGAATCATCATACTTTTACTAGTTTATTGTTCAGCATCGTTCTGCCTTCGTACCGGTATAACTCCAATATTTTAGTTTATTCACGTTTTGAAAGGCACGAAACCCAGTCCTCCTATAATATGAACGAAAGGCCGTTTACTTGCGAACATATCGCTGTGTTCACAACATACGACGATAGAGAAATGTGGATTTCGCGTTTCTGCTTGCAGTGTGTTTACCGGTAAATGAGTCAAAACGAAAATTCAAACTCAAATGAAACGATATCGCGAGTTGGCTGAGCAAATTGGTTTATACACAGCCAGTAGAGTGGAGGCAGAGGTATAGAATAAACGAAACACATAAAGCAAAATGTGTTAGTTTTCACTCCAGTCTATGAATTTCGAAAACATTCAAACTTCCAAATTGACAGTGATGAGGTTTTCATTCATCTCCATCCCTTTAATTATACTTTGATTATAATGAGAATAGGATACAAATCTATCGATTGTGCTGGATAAAGACTTATATGCCAGGCAGTTAACAGTATCTTGGTACGCACATTCAAAAAATATCCCTGTGCAAGGCATTAGCTAATTCATCGCATGCGTTACGCAATGGGGGTTATTGTGCAAGTATGGTATATTGATGTTACAAAAGAATGTTTCATGTGCGTCAATTACACGACAAACGTTGTAAATAACCAATTTGACAGTTGACGACTGCTTATACGAGTTATTCCTTTTAAATTCAAATAAAAATATTTTATTTTTCTCTTTGTCTGTCGAGTCATTAACTTTACCTATTTGCTCAACCATATAAGTTTAATTCGAATGTCAATGATGACTACATCCAGTCATTAACGTAAATTAGTTCATTAAATTAATTTGGCTCCTTATAGTTGCATCGCGAAAAGTTGCATCAAAATTTTTCCCTGTTTTCCAATACTGGTCGTGGAATTTTTTTTAAGATTTTAATATGATGTTAATATATATATTTAGTTTAGCAAATTATTTCCATGGCCAATGCAGAGCAAAAAATGGCAGTACAAGCCTGTAACACTTGAAATTTTAGCTACAAGAATGCTAAGTTATGAGTAGTTATTTTCCGTGGGATTTAACAGACATAACATAATAATCAATATGTCTTCACTCAAGCAAAATAATATGAAACTGACTCGATTATTTTGTGAATACGAACACAGACTAATAACTGCATGAAATCTTTATCTCTCTATCTTTATTCGGAAGTTTTCTCAAACTGAGTAAATAAAAATGGTGATATAAAGTTTCAATCAATGATATAAGGCCTTTTGTTTGTTCTCGTACTTGTGCAATATTCGATATTCTGCTGAACAGCCAGTTTTTGTGGACGCTAATAATTAACGCCTTATTGTATTACATTGGCTCCTGCCGCGCCGCCGGTGTTTGCAATGCGGCCTTGACTTCTCTGGGCAAATTGTATGCACCGAAAGGTGGCGGGTGTTCAGGCGAGTTTTGTCTAGCTTTTTATCTGTGACCTCGAAAAGTACTCAACTATCCCGTATACTTTAGCTTGCATTTAGCTGCATTATTTAGAGATAGAATTCGATTAATAAACATTAGATTTTATTTAGCTGTCGGACTAGAACGGACGTAAATTGCAAATTTACTGGTTCAGTTTAACCATATGTTGTGACAGAATGGCACAATCTCAGTTTAATCATTTTATGTGTAAAGGCTAAAGTATCGCGGCACTGCAATGAATTTAACAATGTTGTAAATATGTTGTGAATTTTGAAATAGCTCAAAGACTCAGAGCTCCCGGCACAGGTGGTGCAAGAATTTACGCTCATTAATAATGAATGGCAGCTCGTATTTTTTTTTTGCCAAACTGTTTATTGATATATATATATATATATTCCTATCACTTGATTAATACTAGTTATTGTTTGTACTGAGCTTTGCTGCGGTGAACGCAACTATCATGGAAAAGAGGTTTGATCGCGGACTCGGTAAAATCAGCAAGAGCTCAATACCGAGTCGAAATCCTAAAATTGAAAATTCGAGCCCGGTTCTCCATCCCAAGATATAACACAAGTTTTGTTAGACCCGAGTAAGAAAAAATGATTATGAAAGGGAGGCAAAGCAACTGAACAGCATAATGTGACTTTGAAATGTAGCATTTATTTACTAACAATGACGGCAGAGAAAACTAGAGAGAGGATTTTAGAGAGATTTAACTGGCATTTGACTATTCGTTCACACCATAATTCCGAGATGCTTGATAAATTGAATTATTCAGGTGAAAATATTACACTAGAAAGTCATTTTAATTCATTATTCAACTGTTACACCATGTTTGGGTAACTTTATTTTTTATGTTTGATGTATGTACTTACTAATTACTTCCAATAAAGAATTACGAGCATCAAACTATCGACGAGATTTACTGACTAATTTGCAAACAAAGGATCCGAACTAATGAGCAAAATTCACTGTCAAAGCCCTCATTAGTTAACACGCTGGCTTAGTGAGCTAATGAAATGATAAAAACGTCAAGTTCGGGCATTTTTAAAGACTTTATCCGCGCGGGAACTAGATTAAATTTTAAGCGTTTAACGCGATCGGCGCTATAAAAGAAAGCGTTTGCAGGCCCCACCAGTTGTACGAAATTCAAGTGTCTTCGCGGCGTCGTGATGTATCAGCAGCAGGATGATTTTTGGTGCCTCCCGCTTTTCGAAGTTTAATACGAATTAATTTCACCGTAGCTGTGTGTCGCGCTATCATTCAGGGATTTAAATTTAGGTTTGGAGATTGGTTTATAGACAACTATCAAACGAGTTATTCTGAGATAGCCGATAGTTCAGAAATTTCCCAACTTTCCATGTGTGCTAGATTTTTAGCTACTTCGAAATAATAATAAAAAACACTAGTTGGTGAATGTTTACAAAATCATCCTTCACGTTGAATATTACGTTCAAACTTTTTGATAGCATATCAATTGATTTTCTTTCAAATTCTTTACACGAAACAGATTAACAAACAAAACAATAAAATGTCTACCGCTGAAGAAAAAGACAAAGAGGCAAACGAAAGTAACAGTAGTTTTGGAGAAAGACTTGTCGTAGATTTTGACAGTGTTCTGAAATACGTTGGTTCATGTGGACGATATCAGATTCTGCTTGTGCTAATGGCTTATTATGTTTGCCTTCCATGTGGAATGCATCAAGTAGGTGCAGTGTTTTTAGCAGCCATTCCAAAATACCGGTGTTTCATACCAGGAGTTGATGGCAATCCGTTGTATGCAAATACATCTTGGGATGATATCGTGAAAGCCACTACACCAGGCAATGATGGGGTAAGCTTGATAAAATATATTTACTTTTTTAAATGTTCACAAAATGATATAAAATTGTCGTGTCAAATGTGAAATTAACATGCAATTAAAGTTTTCTGTGGTTGAAAAATATGTTTTTACCGTTTTAAATTTCTCGTCGCATTAATTAACATAAAACACTAACTTTATTCCAAAAGTATTTAAACTGAGCGATGACAAATATTAACACAACAGAACAGGGAACAAGCTCATTATCGTTTATTTGTCTATTTACAGTGATGTCAATCCAAACAAAACAGCGTCCTTTCGTCAGCTCTTACTGTGGTTCTGATTATGTTTCATAATGATTCTCATTTTCATTTCATACAGGACTACGACACTTGTAAAAGATACAACTACACTTGGAGCAATTGCACTGATGGCACATTTGCTTGCCATGACGGTAAAGATGAGCCAAATACAATCGCCTGCAAAAAATACGTTTATGACGACAGTGTTTATAAAAGCACCGTAACAACCGAGGTAATATCATAAAAATTGACACGAAAAGAAAAATGCGTTCTATCAAATAAACAATACGGCGTACAAAAATCATGTATATGTAACTTATTTTCATTACTGAAACTGGCAAAATATCACAGATTTAAATTTGTGTAAGTGTCATATTGGAATTAGCCTATATGGAAAAGCACCATAAATGCTCAAGCTTGACATGTCGTCAAAAACGACCTTTCGAACGTCCTTAGCACCGGAATATATAAAACGTAAATTTTCTGACTTCTTGTATCCATATTTTCAGTGGGATCTCGTTTGTGACCGACTCATTGTTGGAACCAGTGTGACAGCGATATATTATGTTGGCGTCTTGTTCTCAGCTTTAATAGGGGGAAACATAGCTGATCTGTGAGTCGTGTTTTTATCTCGATTTAGACTATTGTTATTCGAGTTGTATTCATTTGAAAGTGCCAAATCAACTATCTCGATCGTCCTCCATTATTAGACATTAAGAAAAGTTGGTGTTTTGAGATATTATTGGTTTGAATTAGGCATAGGACTTTATTTCTCTGTACACTTTTGAGAAATGTGGATATAAAAGCATAATTGTTTCAAAAGTATGCAATTTTCACACACGCTCACTTATTCCTTTGTAAATACGATCCTTTGTTGCACTGTACTTGATATTGTTCAATTCATTCAATATAGAATTGGAAGATGCCCCACCATGCTTGGAGGTCAGATGGGTCTGATGGTTGTTGGCATGGGATGTGCTTTTTCGCCTACTTTAGCCGCTTTTGCTGCTACAAGATTTGCTTTGGCTTTATTTCTCATGGCAAGCTACGTCGCTTCATTTGTGTACGGTAAGATATTTCTTGCACTAAACGCGTGTAGCATTTGTAGCTAAAAAATCATATCCAAGGGATGAATATGCTCAGTATGGCAATGTGTGGTTGGTTGCAAGAATAATCAAGCTCCGGACAGTACGTAATTCTTTGGATGAATTAGCTAGATTAGATTAAGAGAGACTCCTTTGAAACTGACATTGCATATTTTATTTAGGCATACAGCTGTATAAATAAATCACAAATAGTCCCTTGTTGTTAACATTTAAACAAGGTACTAAATATCACTATACTCGTTGATGTAATGACTTTGATATGCGTAATTCACGACACAGCTACTTTTTGTGTTATTCAATTTGGTGATCTTTAAAAGCCCCTTTCGTTGTTGTGTAATTTATCTTTCCTAATTGATTTTCAGTAATGGAAATAACTTCAGGAAAATGGAGAACGTTCGTCGGTATAAATATTCAGGCAGCTTTCGCATTAGGATACATGATATTGTCAGGACTTGCGTATAATTGGAGAGAATGGAGAGAACTTCAATTTGTAATTTCCCTGGTGTCGCTGCCATTTGCTTTGATGTGGATTTTTATGCCGGAATCACCAAGGTTGTATGCATTTTATTGAACATTCTGTAAAAATTCAGACCCAGAATATGGCTGATTGGCTAGGTCAAATAAAGCAGTTTATAAAGAAAGATCGCACGGGGAGAATCGGAAAGAGTAATATATTCGTCATTGATGATTAAAATGCATTTCCATGAACTTCTTCAAGTGATATTTTCCGACATAAACTCTTATAAAATATTTTATATTTTATTTCGTAGGTGGCTATTTTCAAAGGGAAGAGACGAGAAAGCTAAAGATATAACCCTTACAATGGCAAAAAGAAATGGAGTTGATCTTCCAAAAGATGTATGGGAAATGTCATCAACAACTGTGAGTATCCGATTTAGAATCTTAATCAAAATTCTTTTCTTCCTACTCGGGATGCAGCTTCAATTAAGAATTGAATTTTGAACGCTTTAAGTTATGTTGGTCGGAAAATGTCCGAGTGTCATAGTTGGGAATAAGCTTTTGTCTATTTGTCGCAGAAACAGATTGAAAACATGCACAATCTAAGAAATCATCGCATATACCGAGAAATGACTTTTAATAATAAATATCACTCTTATAACAGGAATCCAAAGATTACGGAAAGATATTTTCACCAATTGAGTTATTTCGTCGCCCAAAGATGCGGATACTTACTTTCAATGTTTTATTCAATTGGTTCGTTATATCTTTGGTTTACTATGGGTTATCACTGAACGTAGGAAATTTAGCAGGTAAGTCAATGTAAAATATAGCTACATCAAAAAAAAACAATTTGACTGCTCTGTATCTCCGTTGAAATACTTTCGAACTAATGAGTACTGATGGACTGACAATTTTTATTTATTTGCAGGAGACGACTACGTAAACAATACGTTGAGTGGATTGGTTGAATTGATCGCATTCCCCATAGTTATTTTAACAATCGATAGATTTGGACGGAGAATAATACTTTGCATATCACTGATCTTTGGAGGATTGTCTTGCCTTGGGTCAACAGTTGCAAATGTTTATGCGGAAGAAAGCGAAGGTTCGACAAAATTACGAGTTTCTTCAATGATGCTTTGTTTATAGTATTTTCTGTCAGATACATCCAATTGATATTTCGACTTTTGTATTTCAGCATTGGGAACACTCGGCACCGTGTTAGCTTTGTGCGGAAAACTTGCCGTCTCTGGGGCATTTGCCATCATTTACAATTACACCGCAGAATTATATCCAACTGTAGTAAGGTAAGAAAGAAACTATGTGTCACAGAGTGACTCGGCTGTTTAAATTTATAATTAGGCTACATTATTACTTTACATTTTGTTATATTTTTCATGTGTTCACAATATATTATATATTATGATACCATGTTTTAGGAGCACTGCAGTCGGTATAGGATCAATGGCTGCCAGAGTGGGCAGTGTGTTAACGCCTTACACGTTATATCTACAATATTCTGTGCCCTGGCTCACTGGGGTAAGTGAAAATAATGAAATAAAATTTATCAATGTATTTAATGGTAAATAGGATTGAACGATAGGTAAGCGATACAATTGGTAGTCAGATAAGGGTATTTGCCATTTGGAGCATGCAGGAGTATTCTCATCATCAGAGTTATATATTATTATTATTTTCACGTTGCGATATTCGTCTCCGCGCTAATGTTCGTTCTGTAAAAATATATTTCATTCTGTTTTAGACCATTTTCGGAATTTTATCTTTGTTGGCCGGGGGAACTAGCCTACTTTTTCCAGAAACAATGGGAGTACCAATGCTGACCACTTTGGATGAAGCTGAATCATTCTACGTCCATCGCAAGTACGATGGGTATAAATTTTAATATATATATTTTTTTCACCCATTCCGCCCTTTTATAACTAATCCAGATCGGCAAATCCTGGGATTTTTATTAAAAAGAATTATTCATCGATGTCCACATTTACAACATACTGTAGCCTAGGAGATGTCAATATAACGCATTATTTTCTCTGTATTTCATCAACTGTGTTTGTTAGATTGCTTCTCACACTAGGACAAGATCACAATTCTTCATAGAGTGATTGGCGATCTTTAGCAGTCTAATTAAATCAGTCTTTACTATCAAATAGTTGGCCTAAACATTGGCAATAGCATTCGTGATTGTAGTTATAAGACATTCGAGACGGGAGTTGCGCCATTTATTGAACAAAGTTTCTCTCCCTTTACGTATAAAAAATGTCAGAATTTACATTGCGTACGCATCTATTTCTATCTGTCTGTATAGTATTTATTATTGCAGCTGGTTTTTCATTTTAATATATCCATGAACATTTTTACCAAGTTGATAACTGTATAAGTTATCATTTTTTTTAATTTTCACAGCACCTGCAGTTATCATCAGACTTTGCAAAGTGTTGATTCGAATAGCAACACAGACGAAGTAAAATGTATTGGAGAAGATCCAAAGAATACAGTTATCGACTCGGCTCTCACTTCGCTCTGATGATGTACCTGTAATTTGCTTCGCGAGATACAAGAAGGTGTTCAGATTTTTGTTAGGCAATGTGTGTTTATATTATGCTGTTTTCTGCATAAAATTTTTAAAATTTAACGTCTGGTGCAGAATCGTTGGACAGTGGAAGCTCAAGTATGAAATATGCAGTGAGTTTAATCATATTTTATGGTCCATAAAATGAATAATTGAAATTGACAAGTGCCTTTATCTTTCTAGTCATATGATTCTAACAAAAATTTCTTGCTTAAACTCTCTAGCCTGAATGAGTCCAATTTGAAATTCTTCTTTTGTAGATTGGAATTTTTTTTATTGTCGTCCCAATAGTGTTTGTTTGTTAGGCCAAACTTACTCATTTGTATCTTTTCTGCTATCCCGTACATACGTCTTTTATAAAAGTCATTTTTCTCGTATTTTAGTGCGTTTTTGTGTTGTTTCATATCAATGTCTTCTCTGGGAGTTACAGGATGGCCAATTTTAAAGAATGTTATATATAATGGTAGCACATTATATTCAGTTTGGAAAACAGGAATTTGTAATAAAACGGTTGTATACAATTTTAGTCGGCGCATTTTTTAAATGGCAATGCATATATTGTATGGCAAATCAGTTGAAATTCAAGTCGAGCAAATACACGAAAACAAAAAAAAGTTATTTCAACTACTTTTCTGATACACCGTATGCCTTTAAATCTCCTTATTCGTTCATTTGCTTGAAGCTTGGACCAGAAATTAACAAACAAAAATACAACAATGTATTGAACTTTCGGACTGTTATACTTACCCGTACAATCTGATACAGTATATGTCCTGAATAAAATGTTTTGAAAGGATGGTGATATAAAATTCAATTTTTAATCTTTAATATCACCGGATGAGAATTGAGAACAGGGGCCTGAGACACATTTTTTGAAATTTATATTATTTCAATACTTCAAAGTTTCGAACAATGCCCTTGAAATCTTCAATTTCTCACTAATAAAAATTTTAGCTGAACTTGGACATGGAATATTTTATTAAAGTTGAGAACAGAAGGGACCTGAGTAGTATAATTGATGGAGTTGCTCTTTATACCCCATATATTTGCTGTCAAAATGAAAATAGACACAAGTTATGTTAACCTTTAGGTTCAAGTAATCTCAAATAACAAGAGGAAAAATAATTGATATTGCCTTAATTGATTAATTGTTATGCAAACAACTGGTGATGGGTTAGACTGCAATCATACTTGTATGCACCGATTAGAGGAAACAAGGATCTAACTCGGAAAAAAATATCAATTATTGCTGAATCGATTTGGACCGCTCATCTGTAAACTGTATATCTTTTAAGAGTGCTCATTGTAGCAGCTTTCCCTGTGCTTCAGAAAGAATACTGCTCTACGAAGATAGTTTAGCTGCTAAACTCGCTTTTCTGACACCTGACTACTTCGAAAATTAGCTACAGTCGCTAGGCTTCAAGAAATAAATGCGCGTAAATTTTCCCTCATGTTTGTACTATAAAAAATCCCACGATTATTGAGTGAAAATTATGGGAAATCCCAATCGCGAAATTTCAAAGCCAGTCGCGAAATACTGATCCTTTAATCCTAGCACATAAGATGCTAATGTTAGTCACGTCTGAGCGCAGAGTCGAAAGATTTCGTCTGGTAAGTTAGGTATGGCAAATGGCAATGCGTAGCCGTAGCTTACGCAGTGGCGTATCTAGGGTGTGGCAGCCATGGGCGCCGTTTGAACATGGGCGCAAAAACGGCGACAAGTATTAAACATAAAAAGTTTCAATAAAAAGATTTCAAATTGGGAATAACTGAAACTCGTATTTTTACTCGAATGATAAAGAAAAAGTACCTCGATTCAATAATAGTTATTATAAATTGTCAAACATTGTCATCAAGGGGGCGCATTTTTAGACTTTGCCATGGGCGCCATTTTACGTAGATACGCCGCTGAGCCTATGTGCCCTCTCCGCCACAAAAAATCTTTCCTAATTGATATTCCTTGACTGTTATATTAGTAATGTTAAATTTATATGAAATTTGGAGTAAAAAATCCTCCGAAAAAGCAGGCGCAAAATAAAAACGTAAAATCTTGGAAGTGCGATTAGATGGATTGCTAGAATATGAACTGTATAAGGGTTGCAGTAGCAAATCGCGCAGAATTTGTTTGAGCATTCAAATACTGAACTGTAGGTGTAGTGATTGAAGATTTATCTTCTTCCACAGACATACTAGCAAACACGAAACAGCGATAACAAAATGTACTCGGTCAGCGACATAAACCCAGCTGTATGGAGAATAGAAAGAAACTGTTGACCTACGAGAGACACGCCAAATATGAAAGCACCACGAGGACAATACAAAGCTACTCAACCGTATAATTACTTAAAATTTGCAGTCTCAACACATTAGAAGTGATTCAAGAGTCTTGCTGCACACTAACACAAATATCTTTTGTAACGTTTCGTCTATTTGTGTTGGTGTGCAGCAAGAATCTTGAACAAGCTACAGCATTCTTGCATACGGATCCACCGGCACAGAAGAAGGTCGCTCGCTCGATAACCAGAATTGGTTTTCGGCGTCTCCTTTCACCCTGGAATGCGGTCTTTTATATTTCCTTTATTTGTGTATGTATAATTCGTACTTTCAGCTTGGTGAAGAAATAAATTACTGATAAGTAGTTAGTCTCGCAGAAACCAAATCTACATACTAGCCGCGTTATGGAATCATTTATTGTCCTGAGCGAAAATTGTGGCGGACAACAACTGAAATGTAACAAAAATGCGCACTCTTGGGCCCATAGATTGCTGAAACAGGGTAATGTGACAAGGACGATTTGTGGATTGAGATCCGGAATTTGTGACGAGCATTCCTATTGCAGCGAAGGCGCTTAATAGCGCATTCAATAAAGTAGATTTCTAGTTTCCTAGTAATGACACACAGAATGGGATTCTAAAAAGACTCCATTATACTAGGCTATTATCGACCCCGGACGTGAGACACAAAAATATATTATTATTTTGAATCATGATACCACTAACATCTCATCAAAAAAAATGATTTATTAAACTTCATTCACTCTGACACATATGATTATGAAATGAAGAAAATCACAGTTTTATTAAAGAACATAAAAACAGTATCATACTTCAGCTCAACAGAATACCACAAGTATTATAATTTAAACTCTGTTCTATCTTGAAAATAATTTCAAATCAGCCCATTAAATTTGAGATAAATGACACATATGACAGGATTTGGAGCTTCAAGTGATGACTGCAATTTATGCCTCAGCATATACATTAAAATTTGTTCTATGGGTAACATACTTTACTATCATCTGTTTTTTTGAAATGATAATGGATATTTAAGTATAATCTGGAAATAAACTATGATGAAGAATGATAAAAATTAAACAAGAAATCATGTGTGGACATTTAACTTCAGCCACATTGTGCCTCTAACATTTCAAAAATACGAGTAATTGTAGGCACAAATGCAAAAATGACTGATTTTCTATAAATTACAAAAGTATATCTAATGAGAAACAAAAACTTTTTTTTTTCAAGAAATATTTGAACATTATTGTCACCACGCAAGCAAAGCTCTTAAGCTGAGAAAAATGAAACCAATTTAGTAGTTGACGATTACTGAAGCAGAAAAATCTTCTTCGTTAGAGTGCGTGGTGCAAAAAAGATACAGTATACAAGTAAACAATAGAATAGAAATAATATAAAGTGACTGTGTATCATATGGCTAAATTGAATCAACATCTAACAGGTACAAGTTTGAAGTAATCATGTCAAGAAATACTCTTTACATTCTTCAGCTACTACATACACTACCCAAATTTTAAAATAATTGGTGATGGTGGTGAAGCCAAATTATTACATGTACAGCAAAACTCTATCAGCTGGAATATCATGCTGCAAACTTGAACAGTGGTTTGCAATTGCGAAATTGCATTGAACATTGCAAATCAAGCTGCATGTTTGGGAATATTTCATATATATTTCATTTTAAATGAGAAAAAAATGTTCCGTTCGCAAATATTTGAGATTCAAAAAAATACAGTCAACTGACTCATTCCATATAAAGTCTGATATTCTGACATGTATCTCAATATCAATTATCAGATATAAAGCACAACAAACAAATACTGATAAAATCCAAAATTAATAAATATCTATGATGAATAAGACAGTAACAAATTAAAGAAAAACATTCAAAGAAAAGTGTTGGCTTATACTAAGTATCAGTCACCGAATATCACAGTCAAGATGTGCTTTCAGAATGTTTCACTGAATGAAGCAACACATTTTGATCTAATTTGTCTCAGATTGATAAATAAAACAGAAAGAGCAGAGCAGTGATTTACCTTTTGCAAAATATAAAAGTAATATAAAAAAGAAAGATGTAAAGAGGTCCACCAGCACCAAAAACAGCAGATATTGATTGAATTGATGCTCAAAGCAGTACAAGCCAACAAAGCCGAAGAGTTTGCATTAAAAATGAAAAATCTGTCGTCTGACACAAGAAGTTATTTGTCAGACAGAAGAGGATCTCGAGTATGAAAAAATGAGATATGGCAGTCAATTATGAAAACATCGAAACTGAAGTTTTCTTTAGTGAAAAGGACAGTAAGTGTGAAAGAAGAGAGCCTTGAAATTATAAGTGCCTAAGTATAAAAATTACACAAAGTGAATAAACTTTTGAAACTAAGCTAGGCTCCAAAAGCAACAAACTTAGATGCAACCATGTTTGACATTTTGAAACAGTGACAAGTATGATGTATCCATCCAGTAAATCCAAAACATCAGCAACATAAATAGATGAAGTGAACAGTTGAACAATTTATAATAAGAAACTATTTTTTTTTATGTTTCTTTAAAATAAATGTCAATGCATGAAATTAGTCGACATCAGTCATCTATGCAGCAATTCGAGTGCGCTATTGAGACGTTGTTCTGCGTCATCAATTCTTTTATCAAAATCTCCACGCAAGTCTTTTAGCTAAAATAAAATGGAAATAAAACTTAGTTTTCCTTGGATTCTCATTTTCAAACAACAAAAATAAATCAAAGTAGCTACATCATTAAAAAATAATAGATTTTTGCTAAGTCAATCTATAAATATTCCTTATTAGTCACTAGTAATAATTTGGAAGTATAAATAAGAATAAATACTGTATCGACTATACCGCTGAAAAATATTATTACATTATTGAATATGAGAAAATTTCATACAAATCTGATTTCGTCCGAAGCCTCCTTTATATTGGATTCAACCTCATCACTAAAATGAAACAAAAAAGTTAAGTAGCACAATCAGCATTCTTCAAATGACAAACTTTAATTGTTCAAGAACCCAATATGATAAAATTAAAATGCTCAAAAAGATACAACAATTAATACCAAAATCATGAAGGTCTAGAGAAATAATTATAATTTAATCGAAAATTTGACAAACATTGGGATAATACGAAACAACAAAGTAATCTAACCAAAGAATATTCAAAATCGAAATCAAGAATCGGAAGACATCAAATGATTGAACTACTGACATTTATTTTATTGGGGACACCATGCAAATTATCACATTATAACAAACAATTACCAATAATATAGAATTGACACAAATAATAAAGAAATTCCATTAGTCTTTGTTAATGGAACACTACTGAACCAATTAACAACAATAAAACAAATTTACAATTATCATGTAAGAATTATTACAAATACGCAAAACCAACAAAATTACCATGTTTATGATATTTGCTAAATGCTAAATATGTGTTGAAACATGGAATGAAGCTAATCTAGGTTCATGCTTGGCGAAAGGTAAATTTCTGAAGATTTATATCATGGACATGCTCATTGTCTATATGGAAGTGTAATAAGAATAAGTCGGATCCATGTACAAATTAGATGCATTCAAGAGTATGTTTAAAACATTAAATAACCAATAGGAATATCTCTATAGCCTTTATATTCAGCGTTGCGAATTGGTTTCAGTGGAAATAACACTTATTTAGGGCGAGCTAATCCCCAATAATAATCTAGAATGTCTTAAAACATCACGAATAAAAATATTTAAGAGAGAATTTGAAAGTGAAATAATAATAATTTCTGGATAACGTCTCGTGTAAAAACGCTGTTCAACATCATCCATAAATTCAGACCTGAATTGTCCAAATGGATCTGATTCTGAATATTTTAAATTAATTGGCTATTTATATTGAAATTTGAAAATGACAAATTTCCTTTATGACATGATATATCAGACATTTCATATTTGGAAATAAGATTTTAGAATGGAACAAATAGCTCATTTGGCTACGGCCATCCCTGATAAAAGTGGTGTTTATATTGCTGGTATATATGAATAACCCTAGCATACACATCAAACAATAATTATGACATACTACAGACTTGATCTCTATCACGCTAATGCAAGTTAACAACAAAAAGACAATAGCATTAGTTTATGAGTCACAATTAAAAGTAATTCATTCTACTATGTTTATTATGTTCAAAAAAATTTTCTTCAGGGTAGCAATTAAGAATTATCACCAGAATATTGCTGCACTCAGAAAACTACATTGAGATTTTTAATGAACATCCCAACTACATGAATATACGAGCATCTTAACAATTACACACATTTTTTAAGTTTTATTGAATACTATAAATCACATGACATCACAAAGACAATCACTCTTGTAATATCATACATACATTATCAATGATGCTGTGGATAGAATCGAACTCTAAAGCAATTCGGAAAACAAGAAATTGCGGAAATTAAAAAAATTTAAATTAATATAAATGAAATTTTTGAACCATGCAAACAGAAATGCTAAATGAAATCTGACAAACTTTGGATATACGTGAAGTACTTCATAAGTTTCCATTCAACAGAATAGATTATCTTATGTAATCAAACTAATTATATACGAGTTTGAAAACCTTTTTATAAAGCGAGCCAATGTAGCATCAAAAGACGAAGGCATAATTTGGATACTCTGTGATACCCAAACAAATAAGATGTTTAAATATTTTACGACTGACTATAAGCGACAAAGATATAAAATTATTTAATTTAATTCATTTTATAATAGAGGCTTTGTGAGAATAAAAATTATTTGTACCAGTATTAAGATCTTATTTTCCTAATTTTATGCTTTTCAGTAATAATATCTCACCTGACTTCAGAATGGAACCATCGGGGAGATGTTGATGTGTCTGATTGATGTTGTGACTTTTTCTAAAAATGAAAGTAAATCAGAAAATCACAGATAAGAATATGAGCAAATTAGAGGAAACATTGATTATGAAAATATGAAATGGCAATAATACAATAAATTATCTTCAAAATTCCAATGCATGGTAAAACAATAAATAAATTCCTAATAAACCAAGCTGTGAGAATAGTTCATCATATTTCCACCTTTCGATCAATAACTGTATGCCTGTTGCAGTATTCGTTGTCTAATGAGAATAAATTATGTCAATAAAATTAAATATCACATTAAATAATTCTGATTTACATTTGAGCTGTTGTCTTCTTTGTCAGCCGTGTCAGTAGAAACATTGTGGCACTCAATCTCAACTTGAGTTTCCTTGTCTTCTTTATTTTTGTTTGATTTTTCAGAAAATTTTAATATAGCCTGAAAATTGATGTTTTATGGATAACATAAAATGTAAAAATATTCATCATTTGAGAACAAAAAAAAAAAAAATTTGACACCTAATCCCTATTATATCCCTACTAGGTGGCATAAACGATTGAAACGAGAAATTCACTAGAAATGAAATTGGAAAATTGTACTCTTGACAAAAATGGAAAATACTTTTTCATAACACAAATTGAAAATATAAAGAACAACAATTTTTGAAATGTTGTAGTGCATTCACTTATTATTAAATAGGTTCAGTTGGCTTTGTTTATATGAAAAGTCTGAATATTATAATTTGAGGGCAGGGGTGGACACTTTTCATAATTTTGGGGGCAAACTTGCCGTCAACCAAGACGCACGGTGTCATGTTGATACATTGTGACATCACAATCACAATATCCTCTCAATTTTGTCATCCTCTTCAAATTTAAGAATGTCATTTTATTATTTAAATATCCGTTGCTGCGAGACCTGCCGCGTTTAGCTCAGAAACCGTACTCGCGTATCACTTTTCATAATTTGGGGGGCAAAATTGCCGTCAACCAAGACACACGGTGTCATGTTGATACATTGTTACATCACGATACCCGTTCAATTTTGTCATCCTCTTCAAATTTAAGAATGTCATTTTATTATTTAAATATCCGTTGCTGCGAGACCTGCCGCGTTTAGCTCAGAAACCGTACTCGCGTATCACTTTTCATAATTTGGGGGGCAAAATTGCCCTTTTCTCACAGCTTTTGCTAGCATACAGAAACGTTAAATCTAAGGATATAAATAATATTTGATATGTATTTAAGCTTACCAATTCATCAGAGACAGTTTTGAGCTTTTGTGAGAGTTCTTGATTTTTTGTATGAAGATGTTTATTTTCTCTTTTCAACCTATACAAAACAAAGAATTAAATTTGGCAATATTTGGGCTTGATCAATTTATGACATATATTATGTATATGAAGATATTTACTGAACCGACAGAAACTTCATCTGAATGTTAGATTTGTATCGCTAATATGTAGAAACAATAATTAAGATTGAAAATGACAATGGCCGGGTTTCACCACGTTTGGTATCATTTTTCGTTACGGAAGTTTGTTGCTGCCAATTCCATTGTTTGGTTTAAATGACTTTTAGATAAAATTATTACATTTTGAGGTAACAATTGTGATTCGATTATGAATAGCCAGAGTCAAAACAATATATGGAACATTGCGAAAAATTAATCCCAAATATAATCCTATCATCCGATTAGGAAATTAAGGATTTGAAAATTACTTAAGCTTCAAAAGTCAGGAACTGTGATCGCCAGACAGAACTTGATAAACGGCAGTGGGGAATACTAACAACAATATTGCTCACTCAAAATCTTGGTATTACTCATAATAATCAGTAATTACAAAACGAAATTGTACTGCATATAAGATGTTCCTTCCCCAAATAAAGACATGAAATAGTTCATCAACCAATATTTAATGGCATTTATCCGTCGACTCAAGCTTATTTGCAACTATTCTATTAGTGATATCTCTGATTTTAGACAAAGAAAGAATTTCTAGAAAACAAATTAAAAAATTATTTAGAGCGGTGTCTGTGTAAGCTGGCAATCACCTTTGTTTCTGTATATCTTCCACTTCTAACATTTTGTACAATTCAGTGATAGACATTTTCAATGTTTTCAATTCAGTTTTGAACATTCGAATTTCATCCTCTGTGTAAACCAGCTTGTGATTTGCTTCAGAATGCATATCAAAGTCGTGATTATCCTTCACAGTCATGGCAGAATTCAATTTATCATGATTAGAATTATGAAAGCTTGCAAATACTGTGTCTGGTTCGGGTTCACATGTAATCGGATCTTCATCTGGTCTAACAATTCCATTTAACCCTGAACATGAAAGAAATAGACTGAAGAAAAGACTCTAAATAAATGCTGGGTAGAATTCAAATTTAGTCATCCATTTGGTCTATTCGCCTTCAAATATTAGTGGCTGACATATTCTCATGGAATTGTTTGTCACGAATTGTGAATACTTTTCAGAAAAACAAAAAGGACAAACACAAACCATTTTATAAGATTGAAGTGAATAACGAAGCTAATTATTTCGAAATGAAAAATTATAAAACCAGCATAATAAAAATTCTACGAAGATATGGTAAAGATGTGGATGTATGAAACTTAAGAAACAGTTTCATTGATTTTACTGTGTTTTTAAAGAGTTAATTCCATATTGAATAATTTTAGACACCCAATCAGTATAATTCGAGTAACCACACCTTGTGATAGAAGTCTGTTAATAACTGTAGTTTCAACTGTGGAAGTGACATTCGGCTTCCCATCATCTTTAAACTGAAAAATAATCATTTTTTTGGGTAAATTGAAACTATGTTGCCTTATATTATGCAGAAACTACATATTTAATTTAGCTAGATTCACTCCAGCATCATTTACAAATAGCCCACATGTTATGTTGTTCATTAATGCAATGGAAAAAAATATGTTATTAAAAATAATTATTACTGTTCCACCCATTGTTGCGGTATCAATATAATGATATCAAAATAAAATTGTATTATCAAGATGTTTAAAGCATATTGTTAACAAGGGAATACTAACTGATTTAAATAAACTTATTCCATGTACCAAATGCTATTTCCAAAAGATGACATAAAATTTTCATAAAGGTAACAATATAATATACTATTTGAGTTCACAAAAAATGATTTAAATTTATATTCTATCAGAATGCTTTTAAAAAAACTTCAGATATATTTACATTATTTTCATTATCTGAAAGTGCATCATATGTGACATCATCTTCTAATATTGAATTATAATCTTCCATCAAGGCACTTTCACACAAACTCGGCAAGTCCTGAAATATTTTACAATAAAATATAATAGAATTGTACAAGTACATTGCACTCACAATTATGTATAGAAAACCAGAGTTAAAGAAAGTATTGGGAGTAAAGAATGGGGTTAATGATTTTGGATTTACGATTTACCACAATAATACAAACTGCAGTAGGCTACCGTGTGTCACAACTGTATACAGTGGAAAGTTTGATGCTTAGTATAACCAATAGTTTTATACAAAATAAATTAATCAATTCAGCATAAGAGCAGCAATCCAGGAAATTACCACTGGACATAGAATATTGATCAATTCATTGTTAATAAAAAAAAAATTTCAATTTCTTTCAGCTTACAATCAATTGACTTAAATTATCATCTTCTTCATCAGAAATATTCTCATGCTTCTCATCTTTCTCGAACAATTTTTTCTTTTCACTTTCCAATTTCGATGACAAAACTTTTTTCTCTGAAAAAAGTTGTTCTTGTTGAAGCATCAAATTTCAGATACACCCAAAAAAGCCTCATAATTTATGTTTCCCGGAGAAGCAGCTTTCTTGTTCATTTCTCAACATCACTTAATCAGCAGGATGTCAAAAGGCGTTTAACAATTGCCATTTTATCAGTCGCAAAGACACTTTCTTACTCAGTCAGCTTTTAAAGCATGGTTGTAAACATGAGCTAGTTTTTCGCTGTTTCGCTAAATATTTGTCAGTTTTTAGTTGTTTTCGAAATTTGAGTATAAATCAAATAACTCCATGTCTGCAGTAATCGGAATTTGAAAAAAAAACTACGATAGACTGGAATAAAAGTAGCAATCAGCATTAGACAAACAGCATATGATGAAATATTTTGAATGAAAGTGCGACATGAATTTTTTGAGATCAAGAGGTAAGGAAACATGAAGTCGAGCAAAAAAATTTAATTCAAAGTGGTTTGTTCATGGAATCAGATGGAATAGCCATATTATATTACAGGTTTCAATGTTTATTTACATCTTACCTCTCTGCTATAAAAATTGCTATTCTCAGTATTTACTTTATAAATAGCATATATGAATATTGGCCTCGGGATAAACATGATCATTGTATATAGTCTTGTTGATTATAGAAGATTAATACACAACACTTGATGAAACAAAATATCAGTTCACTGAAAATATCAACACAAATCGAATAAAATAATCTGATCAAAATGCCTACCATTGTTCTTTTTGATTTCTTCTATAATCAAAGGTGACATAATTAAAGAATCTGTCTTACGTTTTTTTGCTTTGCTTGTAGAACTTGTAGAAGGCGTATCTGAAATGTCATGATTGATATGAACCCACATTTTATATAAAATATAAATAATATAATACTACAAGTAAAAGACATCAAGAACGGTAGAAAAAAAACATTTGTAGGTGCACAAATAGAAACAAAAAATTTTCACCAGTAGCACATTTCTTGACCAACAAAATTTCACACAGCATTAAATATTTGGCACAATATACGGCACTCCAGAAATATGTGTACCAATATGGAGGTAACTACTGAAACCTGTGGGCAAGGGGTATATTCACTTGGCCAACACAGACAGTCTCCGAACTCGTAATAGAACTAAAATAATGAGAATCGAAATAAAATTATGGCCTAACCCTAATCTGGTACACACACTACAAAATTTTGATTGTAACATGACTTTATAAACATCCTATACATCTAAATAAAATTTCATCCACAGACAAAAATATTTTGTATACAATATACAGCATGAACCAGTGAATAAATCTAAAATAAAAATGAAATGCTATCTCAAATACATATTGAATAAATTACCTGGCAAACGATTTGAAGATTCTGGGGTTTGTCCTTGAAATATCGGTATTGTATCAAGTTTAGCTGTCAAGAAGTGAAAATCATTTTTCTGTGGAGACTTGTCCTCCTTGAAACTAATTTCGTCACCTTCTTCATTTAAATTTACTATCAATTCAGGCTTAATTTTAATATTATGAGATGGCAATGTTTTTAATTCGTCCTGTTTTGAACCTAGATCTTGCTCGAACACATCAGGAGGCTGAGGTGACTTTATATTCGGAATTACAGTTTCCGCACTAGAGTCCGATGCATTCCCACAGTCAGGTGATACCCGAGCATCACGAATTGGAGCGATATCAGAGTCACTCCCAGAGCTAGTCCTAAAATTATGAAATTTATATTAGGAATAGAAAATCCTGAAGAAAAAAATAAATAAGAAAATTTATCGTTTCACAAAATTAGGTTTCTTGTCTAAATAATGAGGAATGGGTTACATAATAACTTGGATCAAAACATGGTAAATCAATTTGAAACATTTCTAATCTCAAATAAATTCTTTTTTCAAATGCGGAAATACGATAAAGCTGACAATAACATCAGCAATGATGTGGAACCAAGCATAACCAGTATATTTACATATGGAATATGATACCATAATTACATGAATTTTATTACGAAAAATACCTTATTTGTCTAGCCTCTGTAGATCCATATCTTTCTTCTGGAGAATAATTACCTTCGGTTTGCCTATTAAGAATGAAATAGGAGACTCATTGATTTTTTATTTTCACTAGTGACAGATCAATTAAAATAACATGATAGAATGGAATTCTCCATAAAAATCAATCAAAACGAAGACCTCTGAAGTCATGAAATATTAAACTGTTTCTCCCAATGAATTCTGTTTATGAGGATGAGCAATCTATACACGTCACATTGTATTTAGGGTATTTTCCTCACTATTTTGAAGTATGATGTGTCAAATAAATGACAAGAAAGTTAACAAACTCTAATTAGTGTATATGAGCAGTTTTTAAAAAGTCCAATCATAGCAATAAAGTAGCATATTACTGCTGACTATTGGGTGAAAAAATATGAGCAAAAATCTTGTCTTTTTGTAAATGAGCAGCAGTAATAATAAATCTCACATTATTTATTACCGCTACTATGAATTGGGCAGGTCAACTTGTAAGGATTGCAAACAAATCATGCTTAATATACAATGCATAGCTGTCAAAATGAAACTAAATCGAATAAAATGAGATAAAAATATTCAGTAAGCAGGAAGTTATAGATTACCAGCAATGTTTTATAACTATTTGTTGGTAGTTTAATGTCACATGATGTGTCATATTTGCTATTTGATTACCGCTTTGCATTTTTCGATGCAAAACCGACTTCTGATAATATCCGTGATAAACGAAACCATAAAAAGATTCACTAGATTTGGATATTTACATTTCAATGAAAAACACAATTTGGGGTACTCCCGTAGTATGTGTACCAGGTTAGGGTTAGGCCATAATTTCATTCTGATTTTCCTTATTTTAGTTTTATTACGAGTTCAGGAACTAACTAATTAGCTAAGTGAATAAAAACCCCATAGGATTCAGTCCCTTTACACAATCTGATGTAAAGTAGGTGAATATAAATTAGTTACCACCATATTGGTACAGATACTTTTAAAGCGCCCAATTTGGTATCAAAAGATGATTCTAGCATTGAGATAATCAACCTTTTTCAAAACATTGAATTTAATTTGATTACAAACTCACAGTCTATATTCTCCATAAGTTATTATATCTTTACTGGCAATGTAGGTAACATATCTATGTTGTTCTTTTTTTTCATCATCTGCCTCAAGCTCATCATCAAACACCGAAGATAGAACATCATTCAGGCTGAAGGAATAATAGGTTGACAATTGTCAGATATCTCAGAACTTAATTTTAAACTACTGACTTATGTAAAGATGAAATTTTTATTTCGAGAATATTTTGTGTTTTTATCAACAAAAGTCCAAACACTGTATCTTTACAGTCAAATCAATCCAAATTTGGTAATGTTTTTCAGAATTTATTCAGGATGTTGTAGATTATCCCCAAAATTCCAAAGCCTGGTGTTCATTCAAAATTCAAACCAAGTGATTAATCCAGATAATTTTGTGTGTTACATCAGATTTGGCTATCATTAGTAAATCACTCTTGTGGAGGAAAAATTGCTGATATAAAACAGACACAGTAAATCTATTTCCTTGCTCCAGGAAATCTTTTCTCTCAATGAAAATCTTAATAGACAAAAGCAATAAACAACTAATTAACATCGACAACAAACAAATGTTAGCTGACACTGACGAAGCTAATTGTTAATTTATGCCACAATCGCACCCAGGTGTCAAAACAGACATGTCATGCAAAATGATTGATGAATGAATGCATTTAATGCATTATTGCCTTCCAATTCATCAATATCAAAAACAATTTTTATCTTATATATATTTTCCAGATATATCAAAAATAGTGTCCAGTTTGGAAATCATTCATATTTATATTGCCTGTTGGTAAAAATGTACATGAGTTTGTGAATACCATAGATTTGGGTTCCTCACGCTATTAAGCCACGCCCCCTTTTTTAAATTTGTCAAGTCTCGTCACCTCACAAATCATTTGCGAACAATAAGCTACAAATAACAGAAAGTAGGGCAGAAGTATGTTTTATTCGAAAAACCTGTTGAAATAGGTAGATGAAATCCACAAATCTAACAAATATTTGTATTTTTAATTAACTTCACACCCCCTTAAAAAACTGTACACACTACCTTGTGGGGCGAACCCCATTGTTTAAAAACCACCGCTTTAGAAAGTCGTGGTCTATAGGATATAATATTATATTTTTATTGATAAGATATGTAAAAAAATGCCGCTATCATACTTCCTTCTTTCTTTTTGATTTCATTTACTCCCAAATTTAACACCATACCATGAAAATGGTAAATCTACGGTACATGATATCAATATTACCTGCTATTACTCTGTTGATTCGATAATTTCATCATAACATTTTCATTACAGTTTGATTGTACTCCACTCCATGTTTGCCCAGCATCAGATTTGACTAATAGTGATGGGTGAGCTGTTGAATCAATACGTACAATTGAAAAAAAGGAGAAGATACCTTAACAATAGCAAAGGAAAAACCTAATTTTGACAGACAACTGCCGTAATTTTGTTCTTCAAATTCTTATGATATGATATCAATCTACATGACTAATTCACACTTAGCTGAAAAGGCCTGAAGATATTGCAGTACAGTGACTAAAAAGAATCATTCCAGAATCCAGATAGTCATTTCCCGCTTTCAAATATGTAGTAAATTTGTACAGTACAATTCCAGTATTAGGTATATAGATACTTAGATTTCTGAATCTTAAATCAACTTCAAATCAACATCAAAATTTCTTATGAAATGAAAAATTGGGCAATTGATCTTGTTTCACATTATTACAAAAAGATATTTAGTCACATTTGGCATCTCAGAAAGTTGGCGACCTTACGTTGCAGTTGATGTAATTAGACCATAAAATGGTTACCAGTAAGTAAACATCAAACCCAATAAATATACACATATTTCTCTCTCACCTTCTGGTATATTGTCTGTTCTTGTATCCAAATAAACAGTAGATGTGATGGAACTGTATCCGCTTTCTTTATCTACAGCAATATCTGGAAACTATAAAAAAAAATTACTCTCAGTTAAAAGGACACAACTATTCTCATTTTTTATTTTCCATTCTAAAACCCTGCAAAGCATGATCTTATAATGCTCTTCTAACACCTGCTTATATATGTGCAAGTTACTAATCTTTTAGGACTGCTAGAAAAAATATACTCTATAATTCCATGATAATTACATGGTAAAAATGAATTTCCGTAAATGTGTCTCAGTAGGCCTACTCACATATTCATTTGAAACTGTAGGAATTTGAACTGGTTCCGCGGCACCATCTCCGTCATTTGATTTATTTAAGAAATTATTTATTATATTTTCATCTTTACAACTCTCTAAATGAGGTTCATTACTTAAAACAGCCCCATTTTCAGATTTTTGTTGTGATGGTATGCAAGGCAGTTGTCGGTTCTCAAATCCAAATGGTCTTGGCATAATGGGTGAAGGAGTTTTCTTTGGTCTTGTTACAGGTCTGGCAATCTTGACATTTCGAAGAGGTGGTTTTCTCAGATAAGTCCTTAAATAAAATAGACTTGAATTACAGGTGTAAAAACAAGCAATCTACATATTGTATTTTTGAATTGGGAATTAAGCAGGGAAAGATGAGGTTATAAAATATCATCTCCACAAAACACAGCCTGATAACCTGATATGATGATTCTTTGGCCAACTAATCATGAAAAGTGTGCATTAGTTCCCGCAGAATGTCTTGATTATCTGTCTATAGACTTCACATACATGGAATCATGAAGAAAATCTTCATACATTCATGCACTATATTTATACACACGCAATTACTCGAACCCAAGAATATATAAAAATATTAATTCCGAGCACCATACCTTCTGCCAATATGTGAATCCATTGTTGCGGTACTGTCATTTGTTGAGTCATCCGAACTTTTATCTGAAGTGGTATTCTTTTGGAATCCAAAAGAAGGAATTTTATCAGTTTTTTTCTGATTACCATCCGCAATACATCTGATTTCTAAATATTTTTTTCTTTTTTCAGCACGAGACAGGTTTGTTCTGATCGACGAATTATCTGCTTTATCTGGGTTGTCTTGATCTAAATTAGAAGTCTGAGACAAAGGTCTGGATGTCCCCGATGATGACTTATTCCTTGTTGCATTAGCGTTTAATGATTTCGTGATTTCTGAATTATTATCCATTTGGGTAGGCAAATTACTCTTCTCTGATTTGTATCCAAATTTACCTTTCTCTGAACCAACATTACCAGTGTGCACAATCCTGTTTGGTAATTTGATAGATTGTTTTTTACTTGGCATTCCTGATGGTACTTTCTCTGTGTTCACATTCATTTTCTGTTGTGAACTTTTTAAAGCACTGACTTTTTGTAAAAAGTATCCAGGCTTCAATGAACGAAAAGTTGGTGAATTATTATTGCCTACAACATCAGTTTTTGTACATTGCACGCTGTCGACAGATGAAGTGCTTTGAGAAATAAGGTGGCTATCAGAACTTTGCGATGTTCTCACAGTGGGTTTACATGCTTCATAATAATTAGTGCTTGATGTGACATTAATTTTACTGATTTCTTCAGTGAACTGTTTGTTAGAAGTTTCACTTTCTGTAGCAAACTTGTCAGGAACAAAATTGTCATTATTTCCATTACAATCCACAGTGATAATTCGTTCCGTTCGATTTTTCAAGTTCAGAGATGCCACTGATTCGGAACTTTTCAAAAATTCTTTTTTTCTTTCTATTTGTTTAGCAGAGTTAACAAAGTTTGTACTACTTGTTGAAGATTTGTTTGTAAATGTCGGTCTCAATATTCGACTTGGAAGTTTGGATGGAGCTGCAGGACGTGAAACTCTGCTGCATAAAAAGTGAAAAAAAATATTAATATCTACTGACATAGGATATTGTAGAGATTTCATAAACTATTGAAATCTTCTGAACACTAGGAGAGAATATATAATTGGTGAGGTTATGGAAGTATTTTGCATACTTCAAACAAGGTGCGAAAATCTCAATTTATTACATAGTGAGGGAGTTAATTGGCTTATGTGGGTCATGAGAATTATGATTTCCCCAACTAGCTACTTGCATATTTAGTGATTAGAGAAGCGAAAACTTTCAATTACAATTTCATTTGTCAAATAATAATTTCTATGACATATATACAATGTACAAATGAGGGTATAGATTATAGAAAAAAAATTACCTGTTCTGAGGTATTTTCGAAGTTGACATGATGGTGGCAGAAAACACTACAAAACAGTGGATTGAAACATCCAGCTAAACTTACGCACTTAAATCTGGAAATATATCACACATAACAGATGACAAATATAAGGGTCGCAAGATAAATACAAAACAAAATATCCTTTTATGAAACTTGATTACAGGTTTATTTGGCATGTAATTGAACTGTTCCCCCTTGTCCACTTTTCTTGGCCCCTATTACAAAAACCATTGCCTGTTTTGGAGCTTTTCACCAAATAAAGGAATAGGGATCAGAAAAGTTGGAGAACAAGCAGAATCATCACCGACCTGGAAAAAAGTCAAGTTATTCATTGGAGTATGGCAAAGCAATTTTGGTGAATATAAAATCCAATACCATAGTTTTCGGAATGATCTGGGTTTAGAGAGTCTTATAATAAGTCCTCTCAGTTATATTATATATTATGTTATATATTATTATCTTTGAGAAAAAAATCCATGCCTGAAGTAATTCCTCCTGCAGTCCTGAAACATCAGTTAAATATTGCCCCTCTCCCCCGAAGCTTTTCACTTCCACTTTTAACTGAGAGCTTGAGATGTCGCTCAGATTAGTGACGTAATTTTTGGATGGCGTAGTCAGGTGGGGGTTCAGGGGTTAGGACTGACATGTCTCTTGTGCAAAAATCATTACTGCATTACCGGTAGAAAACTAGAAGTACGGTACATATTTCAGTATTTAGGCACCAAACTACACAAGACCCAATATACAGATATATGAAAATAACTGCGACACCATAAAGAACAATGCGAATACTGCCGTTTTGATAAGCGAATAATTTTAAGTCGTGAAACTACGACACATTTTTTGAGATTACTCAGTTTCTTCAAATCCTTCTTCTGTTAGCTCCTTTACCAAAAAGTTCTGAAGTTGTGAGGCACTGAAACATATTTCAGTATTTAGGAGCAATGTGAAATATTTGAATATCAGGAAGTTTTGTAAACAGATCATTCTGTCATTGGTAAAAATAGTTGATGAGCCCTGTTCTATGCCAAAACCCATTAACATCTTTTATATTTCTCAATTTGTAGAACAAATACGAAATATAAAAACTGAGAAATTCTATCACACGTCAGCAGGTATCACATAACTCTGTAACTGTTTTACCGGTACAGTGTCAAATAATACAGTACCGGTACGGGAAGACGGTACGGTACAGGTAATAATATCAGAATGCTGGAACGAAATACGGTGACCGTGAGGTCTGAAGTTTGGGAAACATAAGACAAAATGGCTGTTAATGGCTACGTTTAGTCTACTTTTAGTTAGACGCCGCAGACAGATAAGTTACGGTACCGGTACCGGAGCTGGATAGACCCTTTGTCTTAATACGGGATAAATATGTAAATCTTATTCTTAATACAGTAATACAGTAATACGGTACCGGTACCGTACCGGTACAAAAACTGTAATAACACATACGACAGTACCGCTACCGGTACGATACGTCCCGTAACAATCTGTCCATATTTATGAACCGTACGGTACCGTATGTACTAAATCGCACTGATTTAAAGTGTTCGTTATGTGTTTTTACGAGGCAAAAATCGTTTACTAGAACATAGACAAGTCTAAATGTCTGAGCAATCTGCGTTCTAGACACACATTTGTTGCGACGGGAAAGTAAGGATCGATTCTTTGGAATTGTAGTGCCTGTTATAATGTCGTTTTGAAATGAATTTTCGGTAATGGACCTTTCCCCGACCTTTGACCCCTGAAAAATTCTCCCTATACTTTACCATTGCAAAATTTTCGGCGCTATTTTAAGAGTGCTTTTGCGAGTTGGCGCCTGTAAAATGGGGTATGTGTTTTAAACCATCATTATGAATCATCGCATACAACAATCTGTTTATTGAAAGTACCGGTAAAGAATTTTAGCCTAGTTTATCACAGCTATTTCTACACTAATTTTTTATTACTGCAATTAAATTAAAACTCCTAGGAAGACAGAGTAATCATTGAATTATCTGATTTATATTTAAGTTTCCGAAACACAACTGAAAACTAACGAATAGAGTTAAAAAACGCGAAAACGAGGTAATGTTTACGACCACGCTTGAAAATCTGTCTGAGTGAGAAAAGTGTCTGAGCGGATGCGAAAAGGGAGCATTGTTACGTCACTTTTTGCATCTTGCTAATTGGCTAATGTCACGAAGTAAACAAAGAAGTCGATGCTCGGGGAAAGGTCCATAGCGATGGTTAAAATCGCACTGACTAGAATCCTTGCAAAGATTCGTGGTTTCAAAAAAAATCAGTTTAAAACGACATTATTACAGGTACTACCTGGAATCGATCTTTACTTTCCCGTTTAAATTACTGCCTAGTCTTTTCATTACATGGTACACGGACCAATACTGCGGAAGGCGATTCACAAAACAAAACCCGCCATCAAATCTTATGACCGACTCAAGCGATATATAGTTAGTTCAGTATAAAATTGTTTTGCGAATTCTGTATTAAATCTCCTGAGTAAACTCAATTATAGTAACCAAATGTGTCTCATGGGAATTATGCATTGTTAAGTCGATTGCGCACATGACTTCTCTTTCATTGTAATATTTCTTAATATATATCATCATCGCAACCTCTGTATGGGCATATCTTCCCAACATACATTTATGCCTAAAAATCGTTTACGACATTCGCAAAAGCAATACATAGTTCTCGATTGGGCACGCTTTTCGGTAGCACACTTGTTAAGTGGCCAACATACAGGACCCTAGTATTCTACGCGTTACAAGAAAGAATAAGCCAAGCATCAATGAATTGTCGGTACTCAAAAATTCGAACATTTTTTAATATCCTTCCCGTTTGCCCGAGTTTCCTGGAATGTCGTTTATGACATGTTTATAAGGTGAACGAGTAGTTTACGCTCATTAGTGTTTTCGAATATCTCTTTAGATTTCGATCGATTGCCTGATATGCAGATAGGATATTCTCGAGGACAAGACCCGAAAACCGCCAGACGTTCAGAGATTTATAGTACATATACACTTCAAATTTTCAATTAAAAAATCTCCTTTTCCTCTCACAATTTGATTTTACTAGCAAACGTTTCACATAAATAAAAGGGTTAATGGGCACTAGTATTTCGTATTCTACACCTTGGAGAAAATGAAGTGAACACCCAGGCGAATGTTTGGAGAAGCTTCTTCCCAGCGTACACACAACAGTACAGATCGTTATGAAGCTACGAGCAACAACTGTTGAGGCTGAGCATTCTTTTTCATGTGTGTAACGGGTGAAGACATGGCTGCACTCATCAATGATAGTTGGCGGAAAGCGAAGGATAGATTTGATCGTGGCGATTTTTTTTTTACTAATTAAGAGTTGTTGGATTAGTTTGCTTATTGCTCAAATGTAGTATTTTTTGCCCAAACAAGTGGTGTCTCAAAAAACCAATATATACCATTGCTCAAAATAATTACAGTAATTGATCCTTGCCTCACCAGCGGTATGTTAGTCGTTGCTCACCAGTAACCTGGAGCGCATTGCATCTCACAGAGGGGGATATATCCAGTGGTGGGATTCAGACGGTTCGCATCGATTCTATAGAACCGTCTCGCGGGATTTTATTGGATCAACGAACCGGTTAGCAATACTTAAAAAATATATAACAGAACCGGCCGAAAAAATAGGACTTCTGTGATGGAACCGGCTGACAAAAAAATTGAATCTCACCACTGGATATATCCATAGCAAAAAGTGTTTTTTCTGCACACTTCGCAGTGTCACTTTTGCGTATTGGCGCGGGAAGCTTCATTACTTATCAATCTTAAGATGGGTAAGTACAGTGGCGTAGCAAGACTCTCGTGCCTCAAACAAAAATATTATTCTTCGTTTTTGTGCGCCACTGAGAAGTTTTGCTTTCGACATCAATCTGACAGCCTTCGTAATTGTGCCGGTGACCGGTGCGATCAAACCACACGACGCCGAAAATCGACGAGTCCGGCATTGTTACGTTACAAAACGATTTGAGCAGAACTAGCATCAACATTATAAGATGTGCATTACTGCTTTTGCAATGCAGCTTTTGGTTTTGCGGCTTAAATTTTAACCGCTCGGGGCCCCTTTTCGCTGTGCCCCCCCCCCCCCCCAGCGATCGCGGGGGTTGCGGGGGTGGATGCTACGCCACTGGGTAAGTGTTTTGATAGATATTTGTCGGTCTGTCTGCCTGTTTGTTTGTCTGTTAGATCATAGGTTCTCAAAGTGCTCCGTACGGAGCCCCAGGGCTCCGCGAAAGTAACCCAGGGGCTCCGCGAGCTATTCGATTACTCTTCAAAATACTGACTCAAAATTTTGTAACTGTTCAAAGAAGCAATAACAGCTTTGATAACATCTGACAACAATAGAGCCTCGAAATATGGTAAAGGGCCGGAATTAAAAAATGACATTATTTATGAGCAGTAGCTCAGCCAGCATTTTTAAGAGGGAGGTGGTTTAAAATTGGAATCGGAAATTTCCGCGCAACATTTTTCGCGATTAAAAAAACGGATAACGAGATTTCTGTTGCGTAAAATATTCAATCCAAGACCGATGGAGCATTTGACGTGTCTCGTCGGTATAATGTAGTTGTGTTCATCGTTACTCACGTTTGATTCGAGATTACTATTAGGATTACTAAAATGAAAGAATACTATTCTAAAATAACATAAAATATGTGATAAACTGCCAACTATAAATAAATTGGTGTCGTATTTTTGCGATCTTGGGATTTGTCAAACTTGATTTGTTCTTTCGCACTTGAGATTATTTTTAAGCAAGATATCGCCGTTTAAAAAATCACAATGTCTGGGGAAAATACGAACAATTGAAAATTATTTTATTGCATTCAGCTCCGTCGGTAGTTTCAGATTTTTTTTTTTTTTTTTTTTTTTTTTACGGATCAGAGTTTTTCCAGTCTCGGATCAGCGTTAAAGACACGTCATATCCGAGTCATATCGGTATCACGCTTCATAAGCATGCCACTGCTTAAGCAGCGGTCATACACATAAGGCGGCTTCCGTATCCGCCATGTATTGCAAGGCAAACACTTTCGGCCCCGAGCATCAGTACATGCTATGTGCCAAATAGCAGGACGTCTGCCCGGGGCTTCCGTCAATGCCATGCTTAACACAGCTCAACTTCCGCCACCCCCGGCTTCCGTACATACGGTGAGGCGCGTAACACGTACACAGCATGACATCCACCGTGAAGCTTCCGATTCATCATATCCGTGGAATCGCTAGATGGTCTTTCTCAGAAGTATGCTACCCGTTATGGGTAGCACACTAAAAACTTTGGTTGTATTTGTTCTGGTTTGGCTATTTTTTTTTTTTTTTTAATAGTCGTACCCAGCGAGTATTTCCTTCCAGTTTGGATTCAGGTCTGATGTGTAGGTGTGAGGGAACTTATGATCCAATTGTTCAATAAATTCCAACCATTTTAGAATTGTTTTTTGGATAATTTTGTCTTCATTTGGATCAACCATCTTATTCTCTATGTCTAATTTGATTTTGTGGTTGATGGGTATTAATTTGAATAATAGGAATAGTTTCGTGGTGATGATCTGATTGGACACGGTGTAGTGGTTATAAAATATATTTTCTTTGGATATTTGGGCTGGTGTTTTAAGTGCCAGGTTTAGTTTTTCAACGATTCTAGTGATGTGTCGAGTAATATATGTGCAGTGTAGGAATATGTGTTTTGTATTGTCTTGGCGGCTTCCACAGAACTTGCAGTTTAATAGCTTTTGTTTTCCATTTATGTCCCGGAGTATCGATCTTATGCGGACTTTGT